GAAACAATTTACCTTATCCAAAATATAAAAGTAATTTCGGTGATAAATAATAAAAATATAGGATAACGTTCGATATAATACATTATTAAATAGGAGGAAAAATTACGCGCAAATACTATTAACCAATCCATATCGACCATTAATAAAAATATGAAAAATACAATTATAAATAATATATGATAATACTGTAAACGATAAGATTTGGAAAAATTCGATGGTATTTTCAATTGATCCATCGTACGAATACAAGTTTCCATTTGCAATATAAAACCCTTCACTTTCTGGAAACAAATATTGAAATAGGAATGAAATGTTTCTAATAATAAAATCTCTATAGAATAATATAATATAATTTACCTTTCTTCGAATAAGTCCAGCGATTATGGTAATAATGTAATATAAATAATAGCTATAAATGGATAACTCAAATGTTAATAATATAAGGAATGGTTGGCCCTCTTCAAAAATTTGGCTAATAAATTTAAATCGATGAGTCATGTAAATGTAAAAAAGTATTGTTGAACAAGCATAAATCCAACCAATCGCGTTGATCTTATAATCGATAAAATATTCCACCAATCCGGTGGTAAACATTGAATTAATTATTATCAATGGTTTGATACTTCGACGGAATTCGTCTGATTGGAACATTTTTCGAGAGATAACTATTTTTTTATTTTTTTATATTATTTTTCAAAACACTACGATTCAAAATGTATTATTCAAATATTGTTTAATGGAAACAAATGTAGAACATTCTCTGTTGAGTTTTGAAAGTATACTACGATACTTTCATAACACGATTACCTGTTTTGCATTTTATTACGTTTTATATCGAATATTATTATGACCTTAATTCACGTTTGTTGTTTCGATTATTCAATGAATTCAACTAAGAGATTACTTTACTTTATTACATCTATCAAATTAGAACAAATGATTCATTGCAAGGATATTATCTTTTCTTTCTTTTCTATTTAATTTGTTGTTTTTAACTTTAATTTACCTCTTTTTTATTTTTATTGATAGGAAAACAAAAAGTTAAATTAACCACGATGAACGCACAATAAAATATGATATTGATTATTGACAATTATAATATTATAAATATAATATTATATTGCAATTTGTCATATAAACATAATATTTGAATGTCTTTTTTAACGTTAAATCAATCGTTCATAAATTTTATTGTCAAATATTATAACACTTACATTGTATATAATAAATGTACGATTTGGATCAAATATAATTCACAATTCAATAATTTATAAACGTCAAAGAGGTTTTTGAAACAATTGAAACATAACAATTACAAATGAAACAATAAAATTTCGTGAAAAAAAAAAACGGGAAAGAATGTTTCGATTTTGTATTATTTTTATAGGAAACACTTGGTAAATTTTTCAAACGATACAAAGTTCTACTTTCAAACCATTTATTGTGTCTTGGGGTAAAAATAAATCGTTTTCTGACTTACTTAACCGTATTTTATCAGATTAATACATTTTATTTAAATTCATTAGAAATTAATTATTAAACGGAACAGTAGAATTTTCAAAAATATTTTTTGACGCTGTGCTACCAATTTGAATGAGAATCACAAGGTAAGTTGTGACGATTCCGATTAACTAAAAAATATACAATAATTTCATGATTTATCATCCAAATGTAAATGTAAAAATTCAATAGAATACGTACACCATAAATCAATCTATTGTTGAGATCGAAAAAAGCACAAGCGGTAAATGACAATGGATTCTGAACGAGTTGCAAGGTGAAATTGTAAACCTTAAAAAGAAAAAACTTATCGTAAGCAAATGCCCAATCGATTTAACGTAAAAAATGCGACAATTAATTATTACCTCTTGACGAAATTCCATGCTAGTTGACGGTTCGTGCAATTCGCAAAGAATATCTCCCGTATTCGTTGCATGTAACAAAAAATAAACGATATATAAATAATAATCTTGTTACTATTCATTTTGTGAAACTTTTAGATAAAATGTTTATTATAAATAAGTAATGTAAGAAACAAAATAAGAAATATTTAAGTAACATACCTCGGTCGCAGTTGATGCACATACGTAACATATTATAAAAATTTTCAATGTATGATAAAAAATCCAATAGGGAAAAAAGAATAACGTATAGAGATGCTGAGAGTAGTCCATAGATGTTATAAAATTATACTCAATGTAAGAAGATGCTGTAATTACTATAAATGATGTTGATATTGACATTAAAATATGCAAACCATAAGCATCATTTATATTCCTCGCACACTTTATTAATTCCAGATGTATTTCCCTTGAACAAAAACAATATTTTATATTTATATTTATTTGTAATCATCCTTTCATAAAATCTAACTACTCCACTAACTACTACCAAATATTGTAATCTTTAGGACAATTGTTTTATAGTATAATTACCTAACTTTAGTTATTATTGCAATATTTTTGTCCGAATTACAGGTTTTATGAATATCAGATGAACGAGAATCATTATTCCAAAATTGAAAGATTCTATTATGTTGTGGCAAATCGATAGTGGTATTTAGCATACTTTTTAATAGTATATTCAATTGATTAAATTTTATTTTGATATATCTATGGAAGAGTTTATGATTCATTAAAAGATTTGTCAATTATTTAATTATTTTGTGTAATATATTTAACAATATTCTTGCCTTATCCAGAATAGAAAAGTAGCATCTGTAATTAATAATAAGAAAAAAGGAAATTTTCTAAGGTAAAAATAAATAGAAATTTGCCAGAAATTATAATTTATATATTGTAATGATCGAATACTCGTAAGTATCAAAGAAATGGATATAAAAGCTAATAATATCACTAAGTAACACTGTCGTTTAAAACATTCAGACAAATCCATTGGCATATTTAATTTATTCATAATTCCATTACAAGTGTCCATTTGTAACATAATACGTCTTGTTTTCTACAAAAAAGAAATTAAAAATTATTCTAATCTATATAAATGAAATACTTGAAAATAAAATGACAAAATCTCACCTTTCTTCTTAAAATCCCAGCAGTATTCGTAAATATATAATATATACATTCGATGTATTTGGTAATTTCATACGTAGATTGAACAAAACTCGATATGCTCAGTTTAAACATAACCGAAGAATAAAATGGAAATTGTAAGAATATCAATAGATACATAATGTTGGAAAATAAAGCATAAATTATACCAATAGCATTTATTTTATTATCAAAGTAATATTCCGCTAAACCGGTCGTCAAAATAGAATTTAATATTACCAATGGTTTAATGCTACGTCGAAATTCTTTCGATAGAAACATCTCTGCGATAAATTCTTCGATAAATTCTCCGATAAAAGAACTTTTATTTCTTTTTTTTCTTAATCGAAGACACCAAATATTTTCAACAACTTCACTGATCGTTGATCGAACATCGAACTTTGCATTGAAAATTTAAACTTGCTGTTTAAAACTTTATTTTGTTAATAATAATTACGAACTTGGTTTTATAGGGTTCGTTTAGAATGAAGGAATATTCTGTGAGAAATTTTGCAATGACACTACTAATGTTAAACGTATTGCTTGCATTATATTTACCTTGGTATAGAATATTTTTTGTTAATCATGCTAGCGTAGATAATTAATAGAATTATCCTTTATTATTTTGTCTTTTTTCTAGTTGAAAGGTACTAAAGGGAATTGAGTTTTTTCCGGATAGAAATGAATAAGAAATTATTATTTATTAGAAAAGTATTATCTTTTACCTCTTCCCCTTCTTACATATTTTATTCTCTCTTCCTTTCATATTTTTCTTTCTTTTTTCTGTTAACATGCATTAAGTAAATAGATATAATGAAAAACGTAATATAAAATTATTTGATGCATTTTCTATATCGTTCGTATCGTTTATTTTTTTGTTTATATAGTATAATTTTTTTACGAAGAATATTTTCTATTAAAAAATTTATCTATTTGTATCGTATTATGAATTATATTATTTATTTTTTTATTAGACATTATTATTTTGATAAAAAAAAAACATTTATTCTTAAACATTCACATGACCTCATTGAGAAATAAAAATCAATAAGAAAAATTACTATTATTTAATTATTATTGCATTATATTCAATCACTATTAAAATAAAATACGAATTAAATCAAATAAAAAATTATAAATTACTTTTCAAAGTATTTTACGTATTAAAGTTGAATAATAAATGTTTACATAATTTGTTTAAATATATGATTTATTTTAAATTGTACCAGCTACTTGTATCAATATTACCAGGTATGTCGTTATAACACCAAGACACTGAGGAATAAATAAATAAATAAATTATTATTCATTTTTCTTATGCTTACGAGATTCAACATAAGTAATTGTACCAACCGAACAAATTTGTTTGCAATCAAAATTATGTAAACCGAATGCGGAATATGCGTTACGAAACTGCATCATTTGCAAGGAAAATATTTCTACCTGTGAATAATATAGTATTAATTAGTATTAATTAAATAGTATTAATTAAATAGTATTAATTAAATTAATCTTGAAAATATATTCAATAATAAAATTAACTTCTTTTTTTATTTCTTCGTCCGAAGTTTTTCCATAAAACGTGTGAATGATTTCATTAGTACGTTTAGCCTAAACAAGAAATAAAATCATTAATTAATTGAATCAATAATAATATTAAGAACAATAGAATACATTTCTTTTACCTCATTCGTCGTACTATTGCAGACGTAATTAACCACAAAGATTCTCGTCAAATATTGACAAATACATAAAATCAATATAACAAATTGCAAAGTCATGTTCATTAAGCCAGATATTTCTTTCGTGTATTTTTCATAAAAATCGTATAAGGAAAATGTAGCACTCAAAACGCATATTGCAATTTCTAATGATATTTGTATACCGTACATTTTACTAAAATTTTTAGAAATTCTGTATAATTCCAGATGTACTTGCCTAAAAATACACACACACTCAACTATATATTTCATGGATTATTTAAATAATTTTTTTAAATTATATTTACATATAACTTATGTAAATATGTATTATTAAAAATATGAAAATTTATTACATATATTATATATATTATAGTATATTTATAAAATTTATAAATACTATTTTAATTATTAGTCTCACACGCACCTGATCGTTCGTAAAAGTAATTTACTTCTCTTCAATTTATAATTAGAAACTTGCAGCTTGGACTGCGTTTGACGTTTTGACGAATATACGGATGTAAATAATTTTTTCGAATTTACAGGAAGTGATCGTTCGATGTATAAAGAACCATCTTTGCGATCAATTATTTCGGATGCGATAGAAGAAATTGGTAAAATACTAACGTCACTTAGAAGTTCGTTTCCACGTTGAAATTCTGATTTAATGCACCTATGCGTTTCGAAGATTTTTCATTAACAATATAAGAAATTCTTAAGAGAATAATTATGATCATTACGTACCTTACAACACTAATAAAATAAATCATCGATATATATTGCACCAAAGAACCATACAAATGTAAAATTACACAGGAATATATAAAAAAAATACTGATTTTATTAGGGGTTGCATGTGAAATCATTCCAGCGGCGATTGTTATGGTCAATATAAACGTGTAAATGAAAACAATCGTAATTTCATATATCGTTTTTTTATGCATGTTGCTGAAATATGACGACGATCCTAATCTTTGAAGCGTCTTGTCGATCTCGTTTATTCTTTTTTCACATATTTTTGATGACTGCATATATATAATTTGATTCCCAAAAMATTAATTTATATTATTTCATATATATTAGAATTATTAATACTAATTTATTATAAATATATCTTATTGTGTGTTAGACTTACGTTACTATGATATAATCCAAATAAAAGTTGTATAAGTAACACAATGGAAGTAACAATCGTATAAATGTATCTTATATATCCATCAATATTATTCTTTCTTAATATTATAATTTTGTTTTCCGGATGAGTCCAACAAAAATGAGACAGAGCAAACAATGACATCGAATAAATGAAACTAAATATCGGTCGCGAATGATCGCGTGGAAATTCGAACACGCGTAATCCAAAGATAGTACGTAAAATGTAAATCGGTCGTAATACGTCGTATACACTTTTCGATGGAATTTTCTTGATTTTAGATGTTTTATTAACTTTTCCCTTTGTTATAAACATTTCTATTAAATTTATCATTGCAACTTTGCCGTCTTTGCGGATTCTCCGCAACCGGAACACGTATTTTGTGTTTTATCGATATGTACAATTGAAAATACAACAGCTTTAGTTAGTATTGTCTTTTTTCTTGTTTTTTTATGCAATAAAAAACACAAAGGAAGTTCGATGAGACGTCTTCGAAGGATGTTATAGTAATGCGTA